ATCTCTGGACTTTGGATCACCGAACGAATATTTCGTGCCCATCCGACCACAAATCTAACGATTAAGGCGGTTTTTTTTTTTTTTTATTTCAAATATTTTATTTTGATATTATTGTTATTTTTATTTTTACATCGTCGCTTTCAATACTGTATTTGCTTACGATCACGACGCCGTTGCGTATTCAGTCAGAATTTATTCTCAGTTTCTGATCGATTACAACCTGTTTGGAACGCGACAAACGGTGAAATCGGAAATGTCGTGTTTTCGTGAAAAATATATTACCGTAAACATATTCTACGATATTATTATGGCGCCTGTTTATACGACTGTGCAAGTATGTCTATATTTACCTGCAGCGAATGGCACGATGAGTTTTCGACTTTTCAGATGATATCCGATGGCGTCGACCGTAAAAATCTCGTATCCGGGGACGACGAAATTGCGCCTCGTAAAGTGGGACTGTTGTTTAATAATAATTCGTGGCTGACATTTCACCGTGGTCTTCTTACCCTTGCAAACGAGTCTATATACACAGACGCAATATAAAAACGGGACCGTTGACCCCATAAGGTCTGCCGACTGAGTCTACCACCCTCACCGTCATAAAATGCGAGAAATGACGGCAAAAGCACAATGCTGTACTTACACACGCGCACCAAAGGACATTTTATACTTCTTTTCACCACCACCTGGTCCATGTCGGGAAAAAAGTAGTTTTAGCGTAAAACGGTCATGTATATATATACTTTATAAACGTGCGTTTGTATGCGTATGCTGTATATATAACGGTAACTACCACACACACACACACATATTAGAGACAATAAATTTATACTGGAAAAACGTATATAATATATAAAAGAGCTGGCAGGGTTAGTGTTATGGTACACGTGGAGGACGGACTTGAAGGCCAATATTTCTCATTGTTCCCCAGGGTTGTATTTTTCTCTCGCGCACGACTCCCGATTCAACGACACGCGTTTCGACCACGTCTACTCTAAGTACCTACTTCGTTTTGGAATAGGAGGCGTGGTAGGCGAAGGGTCGGACGTGTCAGTGGTGCCGGTGGAGATAGTCAGTGACGGCACTATATACACCTGTAAATGCTACATAAAATGGCAGAGCGAGAGTGATAGAGATTGTGTACGAGAGAGATATAGTGACGGTAAGAGGCGTTGAAAGGTATCTCCACGTGTTTCTATAAGTGTGTGTGTATGTGTGTGTGTGTGTGTGTGAGAGAGAGAGAGTGTGTGTGAGTGTGTACGAAGGCGAAGAGTTGCAGCTACGGATTTTTCGGGGCTCAATCGGGTAATCGGATTAACCGGCGGCGACGGGTTGTCGAATGCGTTTGACTGGGAACCCGGGCACCCGGTGAAAATTGTGGTAGTAACGACGGCATCAGGAGAAAATCCTCTGGGAACGATCTTTATGATGTGTATTCCATTGCTAAAAACGGCCGCTGCCGTCGTTGTCATCAACGCCACGGAATGTATTCCCTAAGTCTAAGCCGTAATACGGATTTATGTATAATATATGACACTACCTATACTCGTATATTATGGCCACGTACTCGCGTTTATATATATAGAGTATTTTTATTAGGTACTAGGTAGATACACATATTATGATAAACTTTAAGTGCCGACCATCACCGTCCGTCCAAAGTATAGGTTATTATTTTACGTATAAAATAAAAATAAATTTTATTTTTAATCGCACTTTACGACACGTAAGTATTTATAGTATATTATTATGGGAATGGAAACCGTGCTCGATATTTTCATCAAAATATTTTTTAGTAGAACGATTATTTGACATTTAAATAATAATTGTGAGTCACGTAATTATTTACACGTTATAAAATTAAAATGCAATCAAGTCCTCTAAGAAACATCGGTAACATATTTAAGAATAAAAAGAAAAAAAAAAGTACAACGGTTTTACTGGCATAATTATACGGTCGTTATTACTAATTGAAAGCAGCTTCAATATAATTGAAGTTATTATACGACCTTAGCCTCAGTCTCGTCGCAAAAATCATATACGTATCTATCTAAATCGTTTGCTCGTATAGTGACGGCGGCGGCGGCAATGTTTTTCTCGATCTCAGTTGTAGGCACTACCGGCTGACCGTCGGCAAACGTTTTGTAAGTAAAATTCAATAATGTTTACCGGTTTCGATTTCCGTACATGAAATTCAGAATTAAACAAAAATCTATATTTACCAATGATATTAACCTATGCCGTAATACATTTTAATTTGAAAAATATTACAACTTACAAGTGTAAACAACGACGCTTATTGTGCTCAGCATGTGGACAACGGCATGTCACGATTGGAAAACAAATTCTGGTCGCAATCTTGACGAACGCGATAACTCGGACCGGCAAACGTTATCATGTACGGTATCGTACCTACAGTGTAATATCGTTACGAGTTTTGGAGCCAATTAAGATTTGTATCGCATTTTAGCCAAACGTCGGGGGGGAGCCCATATACGCGTCGAGTCGTCACTGGGCTCGTCTATAAACTATAATTACAGCTGACGCGTAATTCGCAACGGAATTAAAAACATCATAAATAATAGAAAATAAAAATAAGAGGCGGTCGATCGAATAAGATTCTGATATTATGTACTATATAATATTATTAAACAATATCAAACCAATACTCACGTTCGACTATGTTAATGTATAATATAAAAATATTATTTATAAATTATAATAATCCTGACCGAAGTGATCGTCGACGGGGCCCCACTGGTTGCGCACAATACTATTATATTACATGTGTATGATACGTTTTTATTTTCTCTCTTGTTCTTCTGGTTTACCGTTAAATATATATTATACAGGGCGATTCACAAAAAATGATCGCCCTTTTTTTTCTTCGATATTGTAGCTGTTCAAAATCTGAGATTTGAAAATTTAAAATTCACTTAAAAACTTTATTTTCATACACTTAAAACTTATCTATACTAAAAGTCGAGTGTCCTGAATTTCTGCGAAGGAACAATCTTCCGTTTTCTAAACGTGAACGTTTTTTTATATCATTAATTATTCAGTGGATAATTTTTCTAAATAATATTTCGAAATATCGACGTCAAATTTCGAAACGGTATATAGTTTTTGAGTTATTTAACTTTACATACATAATATATTAAGGATAATAAGTTTATAAGATATGTAGGCGGCAATTTGAAAATGTTAGTAATTTAAATTAATCCATGAATATTTATAATTTATAACGATGGTCCAAGTGCGATAAAAGAACCAGATCTAATATGGCATAATATTATCGATTTTATATTTTCGTGAAACTTTTTTTTGCTATTGTTCACTATAAAACTCGTTTAAATTTTAAGAACAATTAATCACATTAAATTGTTTGCAATAAAAAAATAGAGGTTCTTGTCTGAAAAACAAAAGTTTAACATACCGCGGGCGCTGTCCCGCCGATAGAGTACCTATACACTATACAGTCTCAAGAATTTCAAAACATGGTATTAGAAATGTGGTTGAACGCGACCGGTGAATCACCCTGTATAGACGCGTTCTCGGCAATGAATCATCTTTCCGAGTGTATAATAATAATATGCAGCATGTGAAATAATATATTATAATTAATTGGATAATGGCGCGGACGGCGGCAACGGCGTATAGGTACGCACTCAACAGCGGTATAACTATACTACACATAACGATATCATGATACGAGCTCTCCGTAAAAACCCGTAGCCAGAACTGGCCTCGGAGTTTCACGAGATAATAATATTATTATTATTATTATTACTTTAACAGTGCCACCGCTACAGACGAACACGGCGATGATTGAATATCTCGGCGAAGGAGAAAAAATATACTTTATGCTCAGTGACGGGAAAAGGGGATATTGATGCGACGGGTAGGAGGGAAGCGATCGGCTCGGGATACATTTTTCTTTTTTTTTTTTTTACATCGGAAAAAACAATTAGGTATTGCGTTATAATTGTTTATAACAATAATGTTATAATCTCATTAGCGACAATTTTTAAATTTATATTTCACAAAAATGTACATTTATTAGTCTAAGTGAGCTACTAGAAAGGTAGAGGAGGAGGACGAGGAAGAGGAGTAAATAAAACGGCGAATACCGCCTAAATATTCACCGTCTGACAACCGATTTCACCGCCGACGAGCGACGATCACTTTGTGCGCGATTCACGGGCATTCTGCAGTTTTTAGAGCTGATGACACCGCAAGACATTTTGTAGTCTCGTGGGAACGTTACGGGAGAACGATAGCGAAATTCGGTTTGACGTGTACCTACCTATACACTACACTCGGTGTTTGTCATTTAGCTCGACTTTTTATCCGGTCGTACGTACGTAGGTACACGGAAAACTCTTTTGAAAATATTAAGGATTTAATTCGTTCGACGAAAGTTAGAAAAACTCAATGCCGAAAAATAAAAACTTCGCTGCGCGTTAGTCTTTTACCGGACGCCCCCGCGATAATAATATATTATATTACATACGTACTTGCAATACACGACGTGTGTTCGTGTGGTACTGGTAGAATACTCGTCGTGCGAGTTTAAGTGTGTGCGCGTCGAATTTAGTCGATACTGCTATGCGTATTTATGACAAGAGTTTAATATTTCTTTCGCCACTTCTGTGTAATTAAATATACAATTAAACCTTCAACGATACCGTACGACGTAGGTAATGTACCTATAAAAGCTGTTGTGCTTGGTTTAAATTTGAGCGTGGGTTTATGCTTTTTGCATAGCACAATATCATCACGTCGTCGAATAAAATACGTAAGCAGTAAAATTTATATTTATAATTTTTATTCAATTATTCTCTTAACACATATTATATATATAATATCAACTTACATCGATTAAAATAATAATTAATAATAATACATGCCACTGCTATGTACAATAATATTACACAATAATAATAATAATAATAATAATAATGTATTATGATATTTTAAATCAAATAATGTATATTTTAAAATAAAATAAAGCATTTTATCGTTAAAAATCGGTGACAATAGAAATTAGCACATACAATAATACAACTAAGAGCAAAATAAAATAAAAAATAATGATAAAAAAAAAAGTCCACAATGTTCTTATAATTTCACGTGAAATAAATTTACCTTTCGTATAAGAAATAGATAATGGAAACCGTAATATTATGTTCAAATATATTTACCAAAAATATTACGCTCGATATAAAACAATAATCAATAATGTATTATTATATATCGTGAAGCAAATCAATAGTGAGTTGACATAATTCTTATTTTTATTAAAGTGTAACGTATTATTATAATATATATTATATTCACATGACTAGATAACATGCAGTATAACACGACGTCGTATACTGAATAAAAACACACGAATTTGATTTATTTTAACTTTTATAGTTTCCTTTTTGTTTTCATTTTTATTTTATTATGTTTTTTACAATTTATTATTATTATATTATTATAATAATTGCATGGGATTTACGCCTCGTGGTGATAAATAATATTATAGTCATCGTATGTACATCGCGTAATTATAGGATAAAATGTACAACGAGATATATATATATATATATTATATTATATATATAATATATACAACACAAATATTTATACAAAACAAAATAGATTAAAGGGACAAAAACATTGGTTAGGACTCCAGTGAAACGAAACGATATAACACCTATATCATAAATATATATCGGCAGCGTCAGGACAACAACGACCGCGGCGTATAACACCATACACGCGACACCCAATAGTGTTATAATATATTAATTTATAATTAATTATAATATTTTAATGCCGAACGTGAGTAATGATCGGCTGTTCTTGCTGTGGCGTGGCGTCCTCGTCGAGAAGTTGATGAGATCTCCGACAACGGCCTGCAAACAAACGACAAGCAAATGAATTTTCGCACACTATTATATTGTTATAAGGGGGGTTGAGAAACAATACTTTTTTTATACCATTTAAAGAGTATTCTGTAATGGGGTTTTTCAAAAAAAATAACCAACTTTTTTATTCTAAATTTAAACAAGTTGCTTCAAATTTATAAAATTGTAAAATATACTACAAGGATTATAGTAAAAATATGTAATAGATTAATATTGCTTAATTTAATTATTATAACTCTTAAATAATCATAGCCTCAAATCTTTTAAACGTATAATTATTGTCTAATAATACAAAAAAATTACGATCAATCAAATTAATCGATTGAGAAGAAAAAAAATATAAAATAACTAATTGGTTCAAACCCGAAATAATCCTATAGGTACGCAGTTGTGCGTGTGTGTGTGTGGGGGGGGGAGCTGGTTGTTGTAGATATCGCGGTACTTACGTCGTTTGTTTCATTTTAGTGGCATCATTTAATTTAATTTTATTGAACACGCAAAACAGATAACTCAGATTTTGAGAACTACCTACACTACAAATTCGGGCTTTATGCCAAATAGTGCTGTTCTTACAGGATTTAAAACACACAAATGTATAACTCGCGTGGTTCAATTATATTTCTGAACGCGATTAACTGCACGCGTAATACTATTTCGAATGAGACTATCTGACGAAATATATACTCGCGTTGGTTAATCGATCTCATAATATACGGTTAAATCGTTGCGTCCGACAAAATACGATCCGAGAAATCGTTTTCGGACGCGAATTTGACCCACACACCACACACACTTGACTGTATAGGTACTATACTATCCGTTTTCACGTCGATTCGTTAAACGATAAGTGCGCAGTATAATAATTAATACGCTCCGCACTCATTTTAATCAGTTTTAATTAAATGCCGCAACTGTTTGTAGTGAATATTACGCCACGCTAATGACCGATGGGAGGTAGCGGGCCCTCCCTACAGACGTCTTCGTCCTCGGTTCGTATAATAATTAGACGACAACCCTCTCGCGCCGCCGAGTAATTAAACCGGTAAACCCCATACAATTTTCGCGTCAATCGAGGTCCGTACATAAAGCGAGCAGGTAGATATATATATATATATATATGGCTGCCGGTTAGATTATAATTATTTACATAAAGGCTTAAACGTATTACGCGGACGGAAAAAAGCGCAAAGTCGGACGATGACTACCAAATCGAAACTGGGAGCTGGTACATGTTTGTGGAATATTTATTAACGGCGAACGCACTTGAGGTTTATTGCAAACTATCCGATTTTTAAGAGTTTATAATACGAAAAATAAGAAGGGAGTGCGCTAAGCCCTGTTAGATTGTTTGCAAAGCAGTAATATAATATGTACAGTGTTGGGAAAATATGTTTAATTTATGTTTCACGAATGATTAAAGTTGATAAGGATTATTAGGATATTTATGATTTGACATCCGTATAATTAAACACGATTTTACACGCACAAATTACCGCACAGTTGCGAATGAGTGTTTTTGATGCCTGTCAATATAATCGTACCAACCAATCTATATTTATCGGATATAACTCGTGAAATCAAATGTTCGTCATTAGTTTTACTTTGAAATTAATTTTAAAGTGTTTTCATTTATTTATTTTGAAAAGTGATTTCGATATATTGAAATCAATTCGAAGCGGCGGAGTAAAAATATGAACGATAAAATTCAGAGAGCAAGAAATTCGATCCCGAGCAAACTTCGTAAAAAGTTCCAATATGTTTGCAGAAATTGCTGCAGTATTCCTTTAGAAATCTCATCGCGGTAGACGGCAAAATATAATTGGGTTTGTCTACCAAGCACAAAACGTCGTTGGAGGTCCGATAAATGGTTTAACCGTGCGATTCGGCCGTGAATCCAAATCGCTGATCACACACACACACACACACACGCGCGACAGATTTTACTGCAAACCAACACGTCGGACGTGAGCCTCGGGAAATCGGTCGAATTGTTTTCTTTATCGACGAGGGTCAAAAAAAAAAAAAAAAATCACCGCGCAATAGCATATTACAACGTGGTCTATACCGCGGCGTTATTCGAAATATGGACTTACCCAAATATTTGGCAAAGTCCAAGGGTCGGGGCGCGTAGTCCAACAGCGGCGGACACTCGGCGTCTTCGTGCCGGACCACTTTGTGGAGCGCGGGTGACGCGCCGCCAGTGCTGCGGTAGGCGAGGACGAGGGCCAACAACAGCAACACGGCCACGCCGGCCCCGGCCACGGCCAGCAGCTGCCACTCGGCGTGGCCAAGCCCGGCTGCCACGGCCACGGGTGCAGATAGTTCGGCCGTCACGTCCTCCTCTCTGGCCACCGCGGACACCGTCTTCGCGCCAGCCGCCGCCGCCGCCGCCGTTATCGCGTCTTCGTCGTCGTCTTCGTCTTCTTCCGAACCGCCGCCGTCGCTCCAACGGTCTGAAGCGGCCACCTCGGCAGCCGCCGCCGCCGCCGTCGTGACTTTCGCCGCGGCGGCAGTCGAGTGCACAGCGCTCCTGGTGTCCAACAGTAGCGTCGGGCTGGTAGACATTTTCACGGACTCGTCGGCTCCGCCTAGCAGAGACACCTGTAACAGAACGCGTAAAGAGATCGAGGTTAACAGCTGATTTTTGAGATTTTCGAGTAGGTACGCGGCTCCTAAAAACGTACGTAGAAAGGGTAACGACATATTATACTGCTGCACTTCGTCGTATATGCACCCGTGTTTGCGATAAAACTTTACCGCCATTATTATTTTTTTTTTTTTTAACGTTTTCCAACGTTATTTAAATATACACGTACGGGTACAAACATATTATATTTATTATACGCATGCAATCGGCGATTCACTAAGTTTGTGCGCACCCCCGATTTATCCTTTGATTCCATGCATTTACTCAAACTGTAATTTTTGAAATTTAAAGATCATATTCCTTACACTTAAAAACCCTTTGAAAACACAATTGTTTATTGTAAATTATTAAATTGAAAACTTTTAATATGCTCATAATGTACATAAATTGGAAATCGAACAAAAATGACTTCTGATTTTTTTAAATCTTATATAGGTATATTAAGAATTATAGACTAGTTAATTGTAACTATAAAGGTTATGTTAATATAAAAAATGCACAAAATTATAGTTATTTAATTAAAAAAAAAAGGAAATCCTTGTTTGAAAAAAAAAGAAAATTGTATCACTACATGACACTTCTTAATGGTAACAATCTATAATTAGTACTTGAAGATTTCTAAAATAAGAAATTAAGTAAACGCATTATTAAAATGTAAAAGGTGGCGGATGAATATAGAAGGTAAATAATCCTGTATATTTATTTTATACTTGAAATCGATTTTGACGCGCGTATCACATTCAATTGTATAGAAAAGACTTTCTAGAATGATTTTTTTTTTTTTTATTAACAAATTTAACGTTTTGTCATTAGAACTATCTAGTCGGGTTAAAGCTCTACACGCACACACACAGGAGTATTTATTAACAATGTAATTTCGTATGGACTTTGTTTTGTCGAGTATTTAAATCATTTTATTAAATAGGATTTTATCACTGTTCTTTCGGATTTCTTTTTTTTTTTAAAAATTAAAATTTCTGCATTATTTTAATTATTATAAAAATTTTTGCTCAGGATTATTATTATCATTTTTTTTACGAAAATTATGTGCTTTGTTATTAGGAACGGTTTTTTTTTTTTAGGAGGGGAGGGTAGCAATCGCGTGCGATCCATCTAAATAGATTAAAAGGAATATTTAAAAAAATAATGGCGTATATACGCAAATACACTTTTTTTGGAGATTACAAACTGTAGTTTTAGACAATATAGAGAGAGTTCTTAAACAGTATATATATTCCATTTTCTTTTGAATAACGACCACGCGTACTATATTTTTTATTTTTGCTTCTCGCGGAGTATAATAATGCTGTAAGTATGGTAATGGAAAATATTAACGTCCCATCGAGGTCGCTGTTATACACACACACGCGCGCACTTATATATACATTTTTTGATATACAGACATGGAGTACATTCCTAAATGGCCGTTATAGACGTCGGCAAGTCGTAAAAACGTTATTATATGCTTAAATATTTTTTATACTGTTAACATGTAAAACGCTAATAATAATCATAAAATGGCACAGCAAGTACTTTCGCTGTGTACGCAGCCAAACACCAAAACGGGAAAATATTTCGACGGAACGCCAAAAGAAGCACGTCATCCGTAGGACTACAATTTTCATTCGTCAAAAGCTTTATACGCATTTAATTATTTTAACATTGTATTTATCATATATCTGTCCGACAAAACTGCTGCTCCGGACACTACTGAACGTATTCCGATAGATTTTGATACTCGGTAGAGTAAATACATGTACGAAATATTATATCGAAAATCTTTGTCTACATGCTATAATATATAAACGAGTAGGAGAGAATGTAATTTAGTTAAAGCGTAAATCAATACCTATACGGTTAAAGATGAGCGTGCCATACTACGTCGATGTAGATACGTTTAGAGCCATGTAACATGTTATAGTCGACTTATTAACTACGGAGGTGCATACAATGACATGAGATAAAATCCGATGTTTACATAAATATGAAATTATGGGAGGATTATACCCCCAAAAGAAATCTGTTGTCGGTACATATCATACGAATTATATGACATTCAGCGAGAGCAATAAGACATATTTATTTATTTAATTTATTTTTTAAGTTTTCATTAAATTGTAAATCGATATCTCAGTGAACGTCACGCACGAAAGCCAGTCAACCGTCGTTTTATACTATCTGGAGTTATTTTTGTATTTCTGGGAGGTCACTCGAGAATATAGGCGCGCTCGTATTCGATTGCTCATTTGCCGGACGTTCGTCCAAAACATAATAATAATAATACGCAACACATACACAAAATTGTACGGTGCGGCCATGTTTCTAGACTGTGAGAAAAAAAGCCATTGGACGACGATGAATTCGCTATAATTAATACGGTTCCTAGTTTTATTATAAAAGCAGAAATTGCTTGTTAGAGAAAAAAAAATTTAAAACGATTTTAATTTAATTAACACGGTTCGTGTGTTTTCTGAGCACGAAGGTTAATTATAATTGTCTATTCTTTTTGTGTTTTAATGTGTTCCGGCGCTCGCTCGGGGTATACACGGCTCGTATTCCAAAATGATTTGTCATTCCGTACGCCTTCTTTTAATTACTGACAGCAAGTGGAGCAACAAAATTATAAAAACTATGTACCTATAGTTATATAATTATACACATACTATTCATCTTGTTCTCGATATCTAGGTACATGTTGAGTACATTTTCGTCAGACGAGAAGTTAGAACAATAGCATATGTTTAAACGCAATGACCACGACCATTATTTCTATTCATCGCAAAATACGTTTCGCGTTTTTTAACATTGGCTATTATTATAATTTGCATTTTCGCAGACACAAAAATTTTATGTATGTCACGTTTGAGCAATAACTTAAATTTCATTTGGATTACATTTTTGTTTTTAGTTAAAAAAAAAAAAAAATCGTATGATACTTCCATGTTAACTTTACAAACAATCAAAACAAAAAATCTATACTAAAATAGTATAATATATCATAAACATTTTATTGCAATTATAATACTACTATACAACAGTTATTATATCTTCGTAAAAACACGCAAAACAGTATAGTAAAATAACTTGGTTAAAAAATACGACGAAAACTGATGATATATATATGTGCATCTTATATTTGAAATGATTGCAAATTACGTCCTGGAAACGATTCATTCGCTGCAGGCTTTCGAAAACTGACAACATTTCGTACACACATTGCAGATAGGGGATGTGCGCGTGCCCTAAGTAATTACTCGATTAAAAGCGTATACTCTTAAGAGCATTTGTTTAATTTGCAACTTGCGCTTCTTATGAAAAGTTACGTTAATTCATTAACAATTAGCATAACAGTATGTGAATTTCGAGTGAAATTTACCCGAATTATCAGAGAATAAAAATGAATATCCATTTATATTTTTCCAACTCGTACAAACAAGAAGGTACGAACATTTCATACCAGCTACATGGGATAAATTCTCTGAAATAATTAAAAAATAACTCAAATACTTTGTTTATTTAATATTAATATTGAATGTTTTGTTTCTGTTGTATATTATGATTTTGGGAAAATATGCCGCGGCGACGGTCGTTCGATTTATTTAAATCGAATTTAAATGCGTTTAATTCTGGATAATTTTCAGACAAGGCTAAAATGTAAAACAAGTTGAAAATATTCAAGTGGAAGACTGCGATCAGTAGACAGTAAACGTAATAATATATCAACACAATAAAATGAAAAATTCCCGAAAATGAGAAGAGAAATTGAAAAAGTTTTTGGAGGTTAAAGTTCATCTTTTATAATACTTCTTAATGATATTTATAACTAAGTTACGGGGGTTGTCAAAAGAACGAAGAATTTCCAATTTTACGAGCCATTTAACGTCCCCGGCGTATTTTATTTTTTTTTTTGTTCTACCGTTGGAAATCGGTTAATACGTCACCCCGAGCCAGAAGTTAATAACAAAGAGAAAGTGAAAAAAATGTGACACCGTGGTGGTTTTTTATACGGCAGCAGGGAAATTGTTAGAAGTAGCCGAGTGGAAAAATAAGAGATTCTCTGCCGGTGGTTGGACACTGTGTGAACGGGAGAGGGTAAGTAGAGGATAGAATAAATGATCGAAAAATCCGACGAATCAGGAAACACACTTAAGCCGGACCCAATTTTAGACCTGCAAACCAATGGTAAATCGATATACGCGAGATCCTTAAGCTTTTAGAAGTTTTGAAATTGTTTTCGTGTACGATCAGCGGGATAGATACAAGTATACACGTAAACATATATATATATATATATATATATAAATATATAATACACATATGTTGAGCATATACATTATATAGGTTCGAAATGGTTTGTAAAAAAGAAAGAAAAAAACAGTTGACTCAAATCGTTTAGCTATTTAAATTGTATATATAAGTCGATTAGGATAGGTTAAGACGGTTAGCTTATATGTAATACGCATTTATAGTTATCGACGTGGTATACGCGAATGTCATTACTAGTCGCAAACAGTGTGCATCATAAACTGTAAAACGTATAATAGATATATATATATATATATACATATAGGTATATTATTATAATAGTGAGATGAAGTATTTATTTTTTCGTGACGTCAAAACTATCGCATTATATATTATCTACTACCAAAATAAGCGATTAGATATGCATTTATAAGACCTACTGCAGTTTATATCTTATTGAACATTTATAACGCGTGTAAAATGTATATATAAATAAATGATACTAGTATATATTATTATGCATATATACAAACGTGATATATTATAGAACATCATATTACATTTGAACATGATAATATATTGTATATGCGAAGTATAATTTCGGCTACCAAGTGACTTTAAGCTATTTATAAAGAAACAGCGATTGGTAAACAACGGGGCGTCCAAGTTCTAGAAAATTAATATCGCGGGCTCAATTTCAGACGTATTT